CCTTCGGATCGTAAAACGGCAAAGAACTTTTCTATTCCTTTTCAAGCGACGAATTAATTCCGCCGAGAGATTCCACATTTTACCCAGGGTCCTGTATATTAAATTGATAATATTAACGTATACCCGCCGGCAACCCTGTGCGTGAAAGTTCCAAGGCTCGTTAAAGTTAGAAGGTTCGTGTGCGCGATAGGTAGGAGTTCGCGAACTCGTTTATCTAATCGACCTTTACGCCCGGTTCTCCGCAAAGTAACGAGCCTAAACGCGACCCAAGAATCCTCCCGACGCTCCTAAACGTCAAGGTCCCAGCCTCGACGCGGCCTCCGGCTAACGTTCTTCGATTTCCTCTAGATACCAAACGCTTTCATGCCGCGCCCTTAAATAGAATCGAGTTCAATAGGACGTGCTAACGCTTGTCTAACCTTTACACCCTCATTGAAAAACTTCTGTCTAGAAGCTGAACGATACCCCGAGAAGCTAGGTCGCGTCAAAGGAAACAGGGGGAATCGATAAAAGCAGAGGAGCTTCTTCGACGGCTATGATGTGCCATCAAAAGAATAGGGAACGCTCGAGCGTTCGAACGATCGTTTAATCTCGAAACGTGTGTCTTCGTTTAGAACAATTATTTTTTATAGAATCTACTAGCTGTGCCCTGCGTGGAATATTATTCTTATTCTAGAATATCCCAGCGCCACCCATCGGGGCTGAATTTTAACATTTTTAAATTAAAAAAAGTCTTTCCTTTTACTTAAATATTGTATGGGGTGAATTCGAGCCAAATCGTTCCATGAATAAGAATTTTAGAAGAAAAGCTACCCCAACGCCACCTATCGGGTCCGAATCTTTGACTTTTTTTTATTTCAACATTATATGGGGTGAATTCGAGCCACATCGTTCCATGAATAAGAATTTTAGAAGAAAAGCTACTGCAACGCCACCTATCGGGTCCGAATCTTTGACTTTTTTTTATTTCAACATTATATAGTGTGAATTCGAGCCAAATCGTTCCAAGAATAAGAATTTTAGAAGAAAAGCTACCGCAACGCCACCTATCGAGTCCGAATCTTTGACTTTTTTTTATTTCAACATTATATGGGGTGAATTCGAGCCACATCGTTCCATGAATAAGAATTTTAGAAGAAAAGCTACCCCAACGCCACCTATCAGGTCCAAATCTTTGACTTTTTTTTATTTCAACATTATATGGGGTGAATTTGAGCCAAATCGGTTCATGAATAAGAATTTTAGAAGAAAAGCTACCCCAACGCCACCTATCGGGTCCGAATCTTTGACTTTTTTTTATTTCAACATTATATGGGGTGA